TTTAAAAGGGGGAATATTTGGTTTTTTTTTTCCAAAAACCAGAGGGGGGGGGGTCAGGACCCCCCCTCCCCCCCCCCCCCCCCCCCCCCAAAAAAAAAAAAAAAAATCCGCCAGATATTTATGCAATATTTCAGAAATATGAATCAAGCAAGTCCACAGGCTGGGAGTGAGAGGCAGCTGTTGAAGTCCTACTGGTACAATATATGCAATATGGTTATTTGTTCTGCTTGTAAGACTCATCAAGACATTGACTGAAGAAAAAGTAAGAATTCTGGAGGACTGGGAGAAAGGCAAAGGATTAACAATTTGTAAAAGGGCATAAATCTGTATCTTATAATTTTTGACATTTCATGCCATTTAACTTTAATGCTTTGCATAATTAAGATAAAGTGTAAATTACCAGTACACCTACGTGCGCTGACAAGTTATTACTGTGGTGATGAGCATGATTCTTTTTAGATAAATCAAGGCAATACTCAAAGGTATACTCCATGAAATTTACCTGCCAAAATGAATTTTCCCAGGAAAATAAGCAATTTTCTCGTACGCAAGAATAGTTTATCTATCCCATCTTTTGGATTTACTTTTGATAAAATTTATAGGGGTTAATTTTAGCCTAAAATGACAGGCCAGCCATTATTACTGAGACCATTTTCCTATAAGGTCCAACATCAGGTTCGCTCCAGAAAAAATATTAAGAGCTTAAATCATTTTTAAGGTGTATATAAGGTTTTAAAGAAGCTGTGGATGGCAAAAATAAACATTTGGGGGATTTTCAAACCCAGTGTACCTTTAAAGTTTCAAATAGCTAGATCATAACGCTCTACAAGGCTGACTATAGCAATAGTCCGAATTGCACAGTGAACTGTGCGGTACTTATGCAGTATATAAGTGCCAACTGTGCTACTTGCAGCTGCAATGCTATGATACTGATAGCTGCACTGTCACACGAAGCAGACACCAACAATCACGACCAAAAGTATTTCAACAGTGCAAATTTCCACGTGGACTCTGCTCAGTGTATTTTCTACAAAATTATGACAAAAATTTAACGTTAGGAAACATTAGTGGTAAGAATGCAAAAGAAATAACGCTTGAACCAACCTGCAATTTTTCGCTGCATCCCCCTTCCCCGGTCTTTGAAATGTGCCTCTGTTTACTTTCTTTGAGAGTAACAAGAAAAGCCACCTGCTCCGGAAATGTATATCTGCGCATGACCCAAAATATAAGGCAAAATAAAACATATTTTAATCATTTATGGGATATTTAAAATGCACACCTCTACGTGCAATCATACATAATATAAAATACAGTATATGCAGTTGTAATTTTCAGAAATAAATATTGAATATTGCGTAAAAACATCAATTTATGCCTTGACCTTCCATTAGCCAATCAAATAGCACCTCGTAATTTGGGTCAGTTTTCAAACGATGTTTTCGTTCCTTGCGGCAAGGGGATTTAAATAGCAGGCAAAGGTTTTGGCCAATAAGTTTATTTTTAATAACTTTTTGACTGCTGGAAGTTTAAAAAAATGAAGCACATAACAAAATTGGACGATTTGGGGAGTTTAAGGTCGATGGCAGTACAGGATTTGAAAGAAAAAGGAGTAAAAGTGCCAAAACTTCGAAAACGAAGATGCCCTTCAAGTCAAAGTGGGCAAACACAGGTAAATTGTTTTTTCTGTTATGTTAGGAGTTTTGTTCTAAATGTGCAACGTGAATTTGGTCAGAACAGAACAATTTTGGTGATATCTGATAACTAAGAATGTCAGTTGATGACCGATTACTTGAGTGCATTCTGGGGGAGTAGTGGGGAGGAAAGGAAGGGGGAGGTTGCTTCAGTTTTGAACTTTTCGACCTTACGTGGTACTAAAACTGCTAAGTAAAATTAGCATGTAAGGCTGGAACCTGAGGGAAAGTGGACCGGGGTGAGACAGCATACTTGGCATTACTTAATTTAGCTTGGTTGTTGACACATTGAATGTGCTGAAATATCTTATTCAGAAGTACCCTTTCTTTTTCTCTTTGCTCATGCACGCACACACACACACACACACACACACACACACACACACACACACACACACACAAGGATAACAATACCTGTATGTTGGTATAATAAAATTCAAGAAATGGCCTTGAAAAAACTTCTTAAAGATGTTTGCGGAATTTTTAATTAAAATTGATATATCTATGACTAATTTTTTTTCAGGACAAAGGGGATAGATACGTGTTTGGAAACAATCTCTTTAGTATGCCTGGAATATTTATAGAAGACTGTGGATTTGTACCTAAGTAAGTAAAAATTTGCCCTGGTGTTTTAAAGTGTCAACAAGTTGGCAGTAAATCAAACAAGATATTGCATAAAATAGGTTTTGAATTTCATAATTTATTTTTTTTTTTAACTTACAGTTACATTGCCCAATGTTAACTTTACCCTTTACAGAGCACTTTTCCAAACATTAAAACAAAAAAATTACCATTTGAAGCTAATTGGGGAACTGATAGATTTTTGCATTTTCTCTTTTTCTACAATTTTCAGGTTCCTTGTAGATGCCTTTACTGTGGTGAAAAACCACATTGACACAGTTGGCATATTTAGGAAAACTGGATCTGTTGCAAGACAGAAAGAATTGAAAGTAAGCTGGATGGAAGTTTGTCTCTTTGATGTTGTTTGATGGGATATTTTGATATCTATCGAAACATCTAGAATTTATCATTTTCTCCAAATCAGTATGAGTAACACAGCATGAATCATTTAGAAAATTTGAAATTTTATCAGAGTAACTGTCGTCAGGAGTGTTGATGTAAAAAGATACCATATCAGTAGTATTAAGGTGGTTTATTAGTCATGCTCATAGTCTGTCATTTGGTTGTTATTTGTGGGATTTGAAATGAGCACTAACAATTACATGGGAAACTTTTACTAAACTTCATGATTGTAAAAAGTGTAAATCACAGCTGTACCTTTACTTAGTATGTTAATACTGTACCCACAAATAATGATTTCAAAAAGAAAAAAAAACAAATGTGACTTGCAATTGTATTCAAACCTAAGATCTACCAACAATTTTCATTGGTCACAAGTTTGTACTGTTCAGCCAGAAAAGGCACCAGTTTGACCAATATATATGAGAGTCTCTTTGTACAAAATCACTTGTAACATATGGAAATGAATTAACACAGTTTAAAGTCATAATAACTCTTCGTTTTGGCCAAAAATTGGATTTTCCTGGAGTAAACGGCAATTTTCCCGTACTCACCAATGGTCAGCGACCCCATTCCTGCATTCAAAGTTAATCCAGGGTTTTTTTCCTAAACGTACGGTTTTTTGTTAAAATCTCTTAAGTGATTTTAACTGACGGAGCCCTCTCTAACATAGCATATCGAGCGGGGTTTTCTGATGACCTACTTAAAACCGCGGGAAAAGCAGACAACAACAACACTTTATTGCAATAAAATAAGATTCATACGATATAATCGTCTTAATTGCTCATATTCACAACGTGTGCAGTTCTGGGCTTTTCGTTATCCGACACACTGTACAAAAACTCGCAACTTACGTCTGAGGATTGCGTCATGCGCCTGTGTTATTTTGGTCTCGACTGCACGCAAGAATCCGCGTGATGCGCCAAAATCCTTGGCAACTAATGCCTTGATGACCAGGAAAAAAGGCACCGAAAGCCCTATTGACAAGCACAGTTTTTAGTTTTACTACAATAACAGCCGTTTTAGTGGTGAAATGCAATATAATATATTTCCGTGTGTTGTTTAGAATGTATTTCTTGCGGAATTTTGAATCTCAAAGGAAGAGTTATTATTGCTTTAACTGTTTTATTACTTCCCTGGCCAGTGTGTTCTTACTGTAGATGGAAAAAAAGGAAATGGTAGAGACAGGCTTGCATTTTAAAATGTTTGCTATGAAAAGTTAATAAGATGTTTTTATAGTATATAGACATGTGTACAGCACATATAACACTTGTAACTAATTAGTACACAAATGTGTTTGTACAGTAATACTTTTGTGTTTTTAAATCATTTATGAAGATGAAAGTGTAAGGCTCACATTTGAAAATCTCATTTGATGTGTCATTAAAGATGACTATTTAGGAATTGCATTATGCAGGAAGGTTTATTTTTTCTGCTTGCTTCTTTTGACTTAAATAACAATTTATTTTCAAATTCAGCACAATTTAGATAATGGAGGAGACCTAGACGTAGAGTCATCAAATGTGTTTGATGTGACAAGTCTGATAAAGCAGTTTTTCCGAGAGCTCCCAGATTCTCTGTTAACAACAAGACTGCATGACGTCTTCATCAAATGCCACCAGCTGCAGGAGTCTGACTCAAGGCTTAAACACATCCAACTGATGTGCTTGTTGCTTCCACTCGAAAATCTAAGCACTCTGAAGTTCACGATGCAGTGCTGTGCAGAAATTGCCAGCCATAGTGAGAACAACAAGATGAACGTATCAAATCTAGCTGTTGTCTTAACACCAAACCTCATCCATACTAACAGCAAGTCAGAGAAAATGACCCAAGTGGAAGGGCAGCTGTTGGCAGCACAGACGTCCATCATTGAGCTCCTGATAGAACACAGTGCTGACATAGGCATGGTGGATGAAAGTTTACAAGAGCGTTCCCACATGATGAGTACATGTTTTGCCTCTGAGGATGAATTGGACCGAAGTTGTGATGAGTCTGAAGAGCCCAAGTCCAAGAAAAAGAAGAGAAGAAGTGGCTCATTGCAAGGTTGGTAATTTTGAGAGTGTGGTTTGTTATCAGTTAATTTGTATATTTTCAAGTGTGTGATATAAACCAGCTGTATGTTGTTTTTTTTTTTCCCATGATTTTGCACATTTTAATACTTAAATGAGGAATCATGTATTGCCTTTCAGCTGTTTACTTTTCACATGAAATATTTTATTTTTGTTATTTTCTTGCTTTTCTGTAATAGGTATTGTGTCAGGCATTAGCAACACAATCTCTAAATGGTCAAAACGTGGTGGCATCAAGGGAGCATCAAGCAATCAAAGTTTGGTGTCTTCGTCCTCTGCTGACATGGAGGACTCTTCTGTGGATGTTGGTGATGCTGCTGGCATTTCTATAGGGATAATGGACGCCACGCCTATAGTGGTCAGGAAGCGAAAAGCCTCAGATGAAGGGGTGCCATTTTCTGCCACTAAAAGGTAATGAAATGATGTCTAGACAGTTTTTTCCCCCCATTGATATCAAAGAAAAGCAAGTAGGATAATATTTGAATTGATTATAATGATCAAGTAAAGATTGCACTGTAAAATCATCGTCAGTTTTAATAATAATCAACTTTTCCTCATATTCCTAAGGGTCATAGTGTCTACAGTGTTAGATTATATTTTTGCACTCTCTAATTTCCCCCAGGAAAGCCATTTTGCAGCAGATGTCCAACTTTAACAAGACCCCTTTTACCCCAGCCTCAACAACAAAACCTAGGCTGCCAGGTATGCTGTTGCTTGTTCATTCCTGCAGTGCATTTCTTTTCAAATGAAAGTAGACTAGATCTAATATTTTATATTATAATCCTCTTTGTGTTGTGTTACCTTGTAATATTACAGGTATCTATTTTTGTTGCAGTGCCTCTGAATATTTACCTTAAATGGATTTTTTTAAAATTGATTCATTTACAGTTTTAAATCATTAGGTAAACAAAAGTATTATTCTAAAACTTTTTAAATTGTCTCTCTGGTAGGATTCATTTTTTGCCTCTCAAGTTAATTTTTTTTTTTTTTTACTGAAACTGGTTTGTCTATTTGTTTTTAACATTAAAATGGACTTTTGATTAAATTTTCATTAAAGGTAGTTATTCAGAAAAGAAAGAAGTTATAAAAATTTTAACTCATTTCGGGTTTTCTAATATTTAAAAAAAAATTTTGTTTCACTATCCTTGTCTATAGTTGCCTTTTTCCATGGTGGAGGTCAGTACTGTTATAGTGCTCTCTTCCCCTTGTAAGAACACATTCAGAACAGTGGACTAACAGATCTGCAGGTCAAATTTAGTGATCTACTAAACAGCTTTCCCCTTAATTCCTTATTAGACACTGAACATATTCTCCGCGGGGATTATGCAACATGCATTTAAGTGAGTCGGCCATAGTTGACCCGCAGATCTGTTAGTCCGCTGTTCTGAATGCGCTCTAATAATTTGATGACTATTCCCTTTTCAGTGAACCGTAATGTTGTCCTGGGGACACCGTCTATCAATTTCACTGAGAGCAGCAATTCCCCTATTAGTTTCACTGCCACTCCTAAGAAGAAGCACACTAGACTTTTCAGTAGCCCAGGGAGTCTATCAAGAAAAAAGAGGTATGGATAAAATATCTGAAGATAAAATCACAATCAGGAGATGGTTTTTAGTCAGATGTGGACTCTATTTTATTTAGTATTTAGTGATTATATATATAATGTTTATAGTTCTTCATTGACAAAAAGTATGGTAAATATTGTTTTTAGAGCCTCGGGAGGATCTCCAAAAGATGGCAAGAAAAAGAAAGGGTTCTTTAGAAGAATGAGTGGAGGAAAATCCAGTCCAGAGGTACATCTATTCTTAATTTTTAATTAGAATTTATTAGCAATTTCACACTGTCACTTACACAATTTAGGGAGGGAAAAACTAAAATGTCCACGTCAGTTGATTGGGAAGTTGCCATGTAACTTGACATTTTTATTTATTAAGGCCACACAATATTTTATGAAATTTCCCAAGGTAAATTATTTTTCTTCCAAAATTCAAACCATTTGTGCCTTCTCTTTTTTTATCATCCTAATTATAGCCATCACCATTGTTGACTTTCCAGGCTGCCAACTGTTCAGATATAGCCATAGGGAGTAAGCTGGCAGGGACTGACCCAGATGATATCCTCAGCTCCTCCATCACCCAACACAACTCCTCCATCCAAAGCACCACATCCAGTAAAGATGAAAATGGCAAATTGAAGAGAAGACCCAGCTGGTTCCGAAGGCACAAAAAGCACCCAAGTTCCCCTGCCAGAATCTTGGGAAATTCTGCTGCCATTAAGAAGTCTTCACTTTCCTCCTTGAGTGGTGGAAAGAAGGAAGAAAAAGAGGACAGTGATGATGGAGGGTTCTTAAAAAAGAACAATGAAGTCATGGTGATCAGAAATCAAAATGCTGACATAGATGTGGACCAGCTGGCTGAAAATCTGAGGCAAGATCTTCAGAGTCAAACTCCTGCCAAAGCCAACATGCCAGAAATTGAAAGAGGAAGGTTGGCTTCTCGTGAAGTGTCTACTTTGGGTGTTGATGTTGGAAAACCCCGTGCACACAGGCGTGCATGTTCTGCTGATGCTAAAGGAGGCCTCAAACGTGGACGTCCCAACACCATCACTAGTGGCCTACCCAACGCAACAACAGTGGTCTGTCGCAAACCAAGCATCAAAAATGTGATTCCTCAGCGTCCAGCGGATATCAACCTCTCCCAGAAGCCCAATTTCATCAAGAATGACCTGAACAGTAAGAATAGCAACCTATCACGTAAGCCTAGCATCAACAAGGCAGATATTGGTTTGCCTATTCCAGTGAAGGTCCCAAAGGTAGCAGAACCGAAGCGCAGACACACAGTCACTGTTGATGTGGACATTCATCAGACCTTTGGTCACCTAATAAAACCAGCTTCTGATTTCTTTCAGAAGGGAAGTGAAATAAGTGAAGTCAGGAAGTGCCCTGCGCCAGCTTCACATGAAGGTGTAATTGGCACAGAAGTTCCTAAGACAGAGAGGCCAACTATCACACCCAGGAGCTCTGTGGTTTCCACAGTCCCAGCTATAGAGCAGTCAACCCATGTGACAAATGTACCAGGCAACATGCAAGTCTCCACCGTGATGAGAATGGAGCATTCTTCACATATACAACAGATGATGCAACCCCCCAGACAGCAAGGTGATACTGGACTCTGCATGAAAGAAAATTCCTGTAACCCACAGCATCCACCTGTGAAGAGTCATGAGCCATTAAATTCCAGACAAAATACTCATGATTTGAAGATGCTTGAGCAACACACCAACAAGGGACAGTCCCTACATGTCAGACCCGAAAGTGAAAAAACACAGCAGATCCCTGCTGCTGGTGGACACTTAAACATACTAACCAAGGACCAGCAGCCAAGTGTTTCTCCTTTGCCCCAATCTTCAAGGACACATTTGGCTGGACAAAATGCCACAGTTGACAGCAGTCTAAATGAGACAGATGGTGACCAGCCAAGCCACTGGTATCTAGCCGATGAGAGCACCATTATAAATGTGATGGACACTGCTATGATGGACAGCATACGATCCAGTGGAAGCTCTAGTTCTCTGACTTCTCAGCAGGGGGCAGCATCAGTGTCTAACATGGGCCCAGACCCTGCCCAGGGGACACAAAATGCAATGGAGGTAGATGAAAATGCTGAGCAAATGGACACGGAGGAAGTGTGTAATACTACTTTGCAGTCTGAGTCTGCGAATAACACAGTTATTGAGTGTGGAGAGAAACCTGTCAGTAAAGAAGAAACAATTGAAGAACAACACAATACTATGGCAACTGTGATGAATTCTGACCACTCAGATTATAGCACAGATGGAACATTTGAAAAGGATCAGGAAAAGAGGTCAGAGAATGCAGATGAGAAACATGAGAAAGAAAACATAGAGGATGAAAATCAAACCGAGATTGTAGAAAACAAAGTTGATGAAGAGAACGTGGATGACATAAAAGAAAAAGAAGACCAAGTGGATGAAAATATGCAATCACAACCAGCAAGTGAAGACACTGCCAAAAACCATGAAGAAGACAAAAATCAAGCCCTGGGCAAGCATGATATTAAGACCTCCAGCAGTATCTCCCCAACCACAGAAGACAATTGTAAGAAAAGTGATAGCCATCATAAGACCAATGCAGAACCCAAGCTGCAGATCTCTCTAGATACTCACAAACTATTGGAAAGAGCTGGGTTCATGGCCCATGATACCAAAAATGTGCCAGAGGACACACAGAAGACAGACTCTGCAGATAAATGCATTGTCCATGAGAGTGTCATCAACCTTCAGCAAGCTGGAAAAGTAACTGCAAATGTGCAGTTGTTCAGCAAAGCTAGTAATGATCCAGATGAAGTGGAGATCATCAAGAGGCACACCTCGCCTTTGAGATTTCCTAGATCACAGATGCGCAACAGAGCATCTCCTGTTCGCATTCCGACAATATTTGCCAAGCAGGACAGAGAGTCTGCAAGATACAGACAAATGGCTGGCAATGTGTTGAGAGCTTCCCCTGTGAAGTCAGCACCCCGTGGAGTGCCCAATCTTCCAATATCTACCAACTTGATTCGAAATCGAAGCGTGGAGAGATCTCTTGCAAAGTTCACTGCAAGGTCTGTCGATACCAGCAGCAACACCAGGGTCATTCCAGGCAGTTCCACTTCTGCAGAACCAAGCAAGGCTGCAAGTGACCCTGTAGAAAAGCCATTACCCCAGCCTGCTGGTTTGCTCAAGTGTCCCCCAGCTGTAACAGCTATCAATATTCCCCAGGACTTACAGGAGACGATTGATGCAGTATGCACACCAAAGAGCCAAAGGCGATCAAGAAATTCGACAGATGCTGTGACACAAAGGTCTCCACTCAAAACGATAAATGGGCCCACAGACCATAAAGAAGAGAAAATCCCTCAAAAGACTGTTCCTCACACACCAAAGATCAAGTCCTCTCTTTTGTCCGAGGACGTGGCGCATCGCCTGTTGATGAGGACACCTGGATCTATGACTCCTCGCAATACTATCACACCAAGGATGAGGGCAGTGGTGGGTTCCAGTCAGAAGTGCAGATCACCGGTGAAGCCAGTAAAAAGGCTGCAAGGATCGCCAAAGTCTCCTCATTCACCTAGGCATGCCAGGTCACCCAAACGATATCCATCATCACCATTGAAGCCAAGAATTGTTGCTAAGAAGAGTGACCTGAGCCCAATACCTGCATATTTGAAAGATGATGTTTTTTAAAATGTATGTATATATGCTTTTTTTTTTTTTTTTTAGTGTTCTTTCTGGTTGTGATGTATGTGGATGTGTTATTCTTAATTGACTGTTAATTTGCATGCAATCAATTCCCTTCCTAGATATAAATGTTCTGACAAAGAATTGAGTGAAATGGCTTGCTTCCCACTATCATATAGGGTTTAAGCTTTATGTGGAAGCGCTAGCTTTAGAAATGTCTTATCTTTTAAACACTGAATACTGCAAACTGTCAAAATTGTCCAAAACTACTGAAGATACCCACTTGGAGGCTTAATTCCTTAAAGATATTTAGATATGAAGTTAACCATTTTCTCATTCACGTATAAGTATAGTTGATATTGCTTAGTTTATTTTTTCTACCATAAGTGTCCCAAAGAATTAAATTAATAACCTATTTTGTAAACTTCTATGTTGTCACTTGTATGTGAATTTAGTTTAAATTGATTTCACGTTATAGGAATTGTGTAAAAGAAATAAGTGACCTTAGAACACTTGTGTTAATGTCTGAAGAATAAGGCCAATCTCAATTAAATTATAGTTACAGTTTTTACTAAAAAATTGCATGACATTTATTGTGTAAAGTTTCCATCCCTTGTAAAAAAAAATTGCAGTATTATCAACAGATTTTCTCTTGCAATGTGCAATATGCATCTTTTTGGCATGCACAGGGTGTTCATGAGATGGAGTATTTACAAGTCTAATGCAAGTTTGCTGTAAAATACAGTTTGATAAGAACTTAGTAGTGAAGGTATTCATAAGATAGAAGTTAGCTTTGGCACACGTCTCCAGGCTTGGCATACCTTTAACAGCCAATTTTGCTTTCTTTGTTGTAAGTGGTCTCTAGCACTTCTGGTCACATTAAGTATGGATGAAAGTCGTGCATTAATGCAATGGACATTTTAATTATATAATTATAAGGGCTTATATTTAGGATTCAACGAATTGGTTAATTCAAATAGAACATGGAAGGTGGTATAGAAACAGCCTGATGTGATATATTTCAATGAGAACTGTATGATATTAAAATTTTGATTTGTTTTACACTACTTAAAAACTATCAGGATATAAAATGTAACTTTAGTAATCGCTGCATATTTGCCAATAATGTAAAGTGAATTAGTAAAATGGCTAATAAATTGAAATGCTAACTATAAACTGGTTATAACTTTTTTTAAAATCTGAGAATGTTTATGTGAATATTTTTAAAGGGATGACAACTCTTCATATGAGATATATATTTCACAATAAATACATTGTAAACAATGCATGGAAATATATATTCTATTTTATCACAAAAACGGCAGTTATGGCAATTATTCTGAAATCTGAGCTTGTCATCAGACCATGTGACCTCCGTAGATGGCTATACTCTAATAATCTCTTAAGAGATTATTACAAAAAAAACAAAACTTGAGAAAAAAAAAAGGAGCTAACTTTGAATGTAGAAATGGATTCATTAATCATTGGTAAGTATGGGGAAATTGCCATTTACCCTTGGAAAATTCATTTTTTTGGCCAAAATGAATTTGTTATCCCTTTAAAAATCTAATGGATGATGTTATTTATCCCTTATTTACATACTGCTTTCTTTGTCAAACTTGAATGTGCTGGAGGATGATCTTTAAACATTTAGTAGGGGAAAAAATATTCATCCCTTTCTTTTTGCTATGTTAAAGTATAATGCTCATTATCTATGGAAATATCTTGATTAAAAGGGGTTTTTATTGCCCAGATAAACTTTTTTCAGATTACACATTCTATATCTACTTGTAAACATTTGTCCAACTGTACATTTATATTTAAACTTACTTGTTCAATTGCACATTTACTATTTTACACTAAAATTATATGCAACTAAACCATTTCATAAATCACCTGACAAAACATTACTTGGCAAAATAGGTTAAATTTCTTAGTACAGATTTAACCCTTGCAATATAACAGACACTCGAGTAACCAATCTCATCATGTGCAGTTCCCCTCCTAGGGGTACTAAATTTTAGGGCATATACAGTACATTTAAATTTCAGTACATATACAGTGTTACATTAAGACAATATAGAAATTGAAGATCTATCAACAGCCCTGAATGACCAGGAGGAATGCAATGCCCGAGCATTAGTCCGTTTATTCAGCACCAATTTGCTGACAACTTCACAGCTTTATGGATTCATTCTAAGGAAGACAACATCAACAGCTGTTTCAAAACTTTTGTTTGGCTTGTCTCTCGAATTTCTCCTGCCAGGAACATTTCATCTACCACACTATATACCTAGAGGAGGAAATTAAACAGAAATAAAAAGTTAATTCAATTTCTTTGTTGGATTTCTTCACTTTCAAAATGTTTTATATTTTAGAAACACAAGACGGCAATGATATTTACCATAAATTCAAAACAATGGCTAAATAATATACTTTCTATCATTTCAACTAAATTATTTACAATTTCATATAAGATTAAGAAGAGACAATGGTTAAATAATATATACTTCTTATCTTTTTAACTAAACTACTTACAATTTAATATACTACCAAGATAAGTTGAACATTAAGCCACTTCAATACTCACCTTATAAAAGTTGAATACTAAGTCCAATTCACAGACATTATGGAAATATTCATTGAGAACTTCTACAAAGTTGTGGATTGCTTCTAGGTAAGCTAGGTTATTGTCTGACACATCAACACATATACAGAAATACAGGCCTGCATATCTTCGGTAGACAATTTTAAAGTTGCGAAACTGAAATAAAATGAAGATGTGGTAATAAAATAACAATGAATGTTATATCTATGTATGAATGACCTTTTTCATAACAGATTTAGAAAATGAGGTGCAATATGAGTAACTTAATACAAGTTGTTGATACTTTTTCATTTAACATATAAATCATCAAAATTGTAAATCAAAAGTCTTCAAAATAAATCTTGCAAGAGATATTTAGCAGAAAAATTTCCATAAAAATGACAAAAATAAGTAAAAGAAAATCTTAAGAAAAAAGAATTTGAGAAATATGAGAGACTTCATATGTGGCAAGCACAACATCTAAATTATTATAATGCCATTCCCTTCTTTTTTACTACCTCATTACCTGTTATTTCTTATTTCTAAATCCATTTATATCATTTCATATGATGATTGTCAATGTGCAATTAAACTTGGCTGAAGAAATTTTGTCCATCACCAGATATAAACATTTTGGCAAACATACTTGTTTTGGCATGACACATGAACATATGGAGAATGGAAAACAATGAAGTTGGCATATACTGGATCTCATGTTCGGAATGAAAATACTGTGAAATGACCCCTCACCTCAATTCCAATACTCACCTCTACAAAATTGGTATGTTTGGCATCTCGCACTGTTACTACTGCATGAACTTCTTCAATTAATTTTTGTTTCTCATCATCATCAAAGTGCATATACCATTTGGCTAACCTAGTTTTGCCAGCTCTATTCTGTATCAATATGAAGCGAATCTAAAGAGAAAAACGTTCCAAATGATGAGTGATTCTTATCCTTCTGGTTACAAATTTAAACAATTGATTATTACCAGTATAGATCTAAACAATCAAAGTATATTAAATATATTATATATCATAATATATATAATATATTATGATATATAATATATTTAATATATTATATATCATAAATTTCAGTACGTGTACCAGTACTTCCTTGATTTTCAATTTCCATACTTCTATTACTTTAATGGGACTTTAATACGATTGTCAACTCATCTATAAGACAATGACACCACAATGCCCACAAACGGACGCTACAGTTAAGCAATCAAAATTTTTCAGGCATAACTTTGAACTTGATTTGTCTTAACTTTTCTTCTTTTTTCTTAACAGACAAGTGAAATCTGATATATTACACCCAGTTCTTACGAACAGCATTCTTGCAGTATACCACCTCCACCCTAAATAAACACTTACTCTTTTAAAACTGTGTATTCTCAATTAAATAATATGTCATATTTTGGCAATTCGACGATAAAACTGATAAATTACTTACCATCTTAACGTATCTAAAACTATGACATTCGACCGGTCGATTTATGATGGCGGACACTTGCTCACTCCCACTTTACAAGACAGACTAAACACTAGTCTGATTAAACTCAAACTTTCATTGTGTCTCGTTCTTTTATAAGCAAATACTGGAGTTCTATATCCTTGGTTATATGTAAGCTAACTGGATTTGCTATAGATACACTATTTGTTTAAAAAGACAAGATTGATACAACGACTAGGTTTCAACAGTGCTGCCACCCATCGAGCGCCACAATAACAACAACATGGCAGACTTGGAAGATATCCGAACACGTGTGCGGCTAAATGAATACAGTTTATCTAATGTGAGTTTGTTACAGGCATGGCCTGTGGTCTTAAATACACAGTTGTGTGTTTATGACTGTATTTTATGCTGTTTCCGAATAACGTCTAGTCTTAAATAAGTTGCAGTCACAATGTGAAATTCTGTTCAACCTCAAATTAAATTTTGTTGCCAAACTCAGTTTTGAGTAGCACGGAAAATGCACGCGTTAGCACTTTTATGTACTGTTTCTGATATTTGCTGGCTGAGAAAATAAACTGTAAAATGATGACCAGCCCTTGTACCTTAATCTTTAAATACCCCCCCCCCCCAAAAAAAAAAAATAAAAAAATACTGAAAGCCCTTGTACCTACAGTATGTGTGGCAAATGTTTTATCTTGTTGTGCTGTCCTTTGCTGAAGTTGTAATGATATCTTCCAGACTCAGTCCACAGATTTCCCTGGGAACTATCCTGATTATGATGATGCATGGAACCAAGTCAAGTTTGAAGAGGTAATATTTTTATATTGCAGACAAAATTAATTTAGACCTGAAGTACCAAACTGGAAAGGCATATTATTTATATTTTATCTTTTGCTCTAAAATGATAATGGTGCAGTTATTTTATTTTATGGCATTAAAAGAAGCATTGTCTGTATTAGTAGTCTATGTTACCTTTTATATGAGTTTTTTTTATTGTTGTCAGTTTTATATATATATATATATATATATTAGTATATTACAGAATTTTGTAAGTCATGCAATTAACCCTGATCATGAGCTTGACTTTATAGAATTTCAGAATCAACATAATAAGTATGACAGATTTAGAGATGGAGTTTGACATGGTTGGTGTAGATGCAGCTGTTGCCAATGCCTTCAGAAGAATATTATTAGCAGAGGTAAATAAATCTTCTATTTTCAGTATAAGATGTTAATATTAAGAAACATTTAGTATGAATTTGAAGACAAAAGAGGAGTTGGACTACTTAATGGTACTCTGATTAACAGATCTATATGCTTTATCATGACTGTATGTTTAAAGCATGATAAGGCAATAAAGGCAATGGTTATAAACAGTGTACATTACCTCAAAATTATACATTTTTTCTTTCAGTGAATATTGTGGCTTAATTTTTTGCTTTGATTCATATTGTAATTTTATTTGCCAGTAACATGTTTTTATCAGATTCAAGTTTTTATAAAGAAAATTGACATGATATTTATTACAGTTTTTGTAACCTTATTGTTCACTATAGTTGATATGTAGTGTAGTATTGATTTTTATTTATTTTTTAGTTAAATTAATAGTTTGCTAAAAAGGAAAAATTGAAATGAGACTAAATTAACCTGCCTCCATGTTTTCCAGCAAAACACTGCCTACTTGTAACAGAATATTGATTTTTACAGGTGCCCACAATGGCCATAGAAAAAGTGTTTATTTACAACAACACCTCAATTATCCAAGATGAAGTTTTAGCACACAGATTAGGTTTAATCCCAATAAAAGCTGATCCAAGGTTATTTGAATACAGACAGAAAGGTAAGGACATATTTTATATGCTGTTATGTTTGAACATCACACTACTTTTGTCGTAGATACTATAATTGTCATGTGTAGAAAAAATGTACCAGTGTGAGAAATAGGAAAAAGGACAGACAGACTGTTTTTTGTAATATTTTCAGTAATTATCCTCTTGTATTTGTTTAAGATGACACAGAAGGAACCCCAGAAGACACCATAGAGCTTGAACTAAAAGTGAAGTGCACAAGGAACCCTAATGCATCAAAGGATGCCACTGATCCTGATGAAATATACAGGAACCACAAAGGTAATTGAGAGCATTTTGCTTACTCTGTTGCAGTAAGTACAAACTTTCAGAGTGTATTAATCATGCATGGTATATTAGAGAAACTCTCTCTGCTGCTTTGTTCTACATAAATTCTCTCTGCTATGCAGCAAAAGTCAAAAATGAGTCAACATTTTACACAGATTTTGAAAAATGGGTGTACTTTGGATAATTTTACCAGAAAGAATTGTTTCTCCTTTTAGTGTTAACCAAACAAATGAAGTGGATACCACTTGGGAACCAGGCAGAGATGGTAAGAATTTAGATTCAGCATTATTTTGATAGATTAACTGTTGTAAAAAAATTGAAAGCTTTTGTTTTTCATTTATTAGGTGATATATGGATATCAAATAGTAAAGAGCCTTTCCTCCTGCAAAGAAATGCTTTGTTAGTAATAGCTTAAAATCAATTCATTTGAAAAGTTTGTTAGCATTGTATCGAAAAGGACATTATTCATTTGAAAAGTTTGTTAGCATTATATCTTAAAAGGACATTATGGTGGGTAACCAAAAATGATAAATCTGGAAAAAATGAAATAATAGATGAGGTGAAATGTTTGTTGAAAGTTTTAAGTAATTACCATACTGTAACATGGGCAACCTTGCTTTTCATAACCAGTTCATGGTTTTTATGCTTTATTTAAGTTTATGGATAATGACATTCATCCAGTCCATGATGATATTCTAGTAGCCAAACTAAGGCCTGGACAAGAGTTAGATTTAAAACTCCACTGTGTTAAAGGCATTGGTAAAGATCATGCCAAGTTTTCACCTGTAGGTAAGTGAGAACCCAAAGGTGGATTATGGGGCACATGCCTCCCCCTTAAATTTTATGTAAAATATTTGTGGCATGCAGTTATGCAAACCAAAACAAGATGGGCAGAATTCATCCCAAGTGCCCCTCCCCTTTTCATCCTTCACCACCACTACCACATAGTTAAATTGTGAATTGGGGAATTCAAGCCAAATACCCCCTCCCTCAAAACCACTACCACATAGTAAAATTGTGAATTGGGGAAAATATGCCCTATTGTGACTAGAATTGCAGTTGATTATTACTCAGTAATAATTTTACCTCTAAACCATTTGCAAATGCTACCGAACTTCCAAATAAGTGTAAGATTTTAATATATAACATTTACACATTTCTTATAAAATTTATTCTTTTTTGTAATACACAAATATTATTCTATCTCCTGGAGAAAAAAAAATGAGGGAAAAACTTACTGAGCAGGAATTTGGTTCAATTCAGAATAATTGCTGTAAAACAGGACTGCTTTAATTATTTTTATAGCAACAGCATCCTACAGACTGCTTCCAGACATAACGCTGACAAAACCAGTTGTGGGAGAAAAGGCAGAAAGACTGCAGAAATGTTTCTCTCCAGGAGTTATAGAAATAGAAGAAGTTAAAGGTGAGAGATTCCATTCAATAAATATCTAATGCAAATCATCCACTTCCAGTGGTTGATCAGTCCACGTTCTTTTTGATTTATAATTTGTGCCCACACTTACATATGAATGCTAAAACTTATGTATTTAAGTTAAAGAAAATGAAAAAGATAATCTTAATTGCAGTGATTACTCAGCAGCTCCACTCATTTTCTTTTAATCCTGAAATGCTAACCTGACCATAGATATATTTTCTAATTTTTTAAGTTAAAGGGATATTAACTCTTCGTATGAGATCTATATTTCAAAATAAAAACATTGTGAACAACTCATAGAAATATATTATATTCTGTTTTACCACAAAAACGGCAGTTATAGCTGTTATTCTGATATCTGACATTGTCTTTAGACCACGTGACCTCCATTGATGGCTATACTCTGTTATAATCTCTTAAGAGATTATAACAAAAAAAACAAACATTTTAGAAAAAAACAGGGACTAACTTTGAATGTAAAAATGGATTCATTAACCATTGGTAAGTTGGGGAAAATTGTTGTTTACTCCAGAAAAATTCATTTTTAGGCCCAAACAAAGAGTTACTATCCTTTTAATGAAAGTCCATCATTTTGTTAAAGAATATGCTATAAAATTTCTAGAAATAGAATGAGATTTTGTCAAAAATTAAATTTGATATTTGTCATGAAAGTTTAAAGTGTCTAATTTCATTGTAGGTCAGAAAGTTGCTAAAGTTGTGAATCCTAGAAAAGATACTTGCAGTAGAGAAGCGTTACGGCATGATGATTTGAAAGAATGTGTTCAATTGGGAAGAGTGCGGAATCATTTTATTTGTAAGTATTTAACAGCAAAATTATGCTACAGTTAGAGAAATCAGTATATTTTGATATGATCATTTTAAAAAATACTCATTTTAATACTGTCTGAATAAATAAGTAATACTTTACAACATCGACTTCTTCAGATGCTTACGTGATATCATAGATATAATATGTCACAGCTGCCATGATTTTTTGTCAAATATTTTTTAATCAGTTTCACATATAATTGTATGGTTTATAGTAAAAGATAATCATTTATATTAGTGTAACAATTAATGTTTGATATTTATTTCATTTTCACCCTCTCTACTTCAGTCTCAGTAGAATCCACAGGAATTCTTCCACCTGATGTTCTTGTCACAGAAGCAGTCAAGATATTGATGGCCAAATGTAGGAAAATGCTGTCAGAACTGGACAAAACACAAGTTGAGACAGAAAAATAGCACAAGTCTGCATATCCACATTGACCTGTGAAAAGCGTAAACTTGGAGGAGGCAAATGTCCTTCTCACTCCTCATCTTCACTGATTTGTTTCCACTTGGAAGTCAGTCATGAGGCTTTACGTGTAACACCCCATTTCCATAGATTAGATCGACCTACTTTAGATCGACCTAACTGCCTGGGGGTTCACGCTAAATAGCTGTCAGCCGGGCGGACACGAAAGTTAATTACCTCCTTACAGCTTGTAGTAGGCGGGACGGACATTTAAAGGGATAATAACTCTTCGTATGAGATCTATATTTCACAATAAAAACATTGTGAATAACTCACAGAAATATAATATATTCTGTTTTACGACAAAAACAGCAGTTATAGCTATTATTCTGATATTTGAGCACGCTTCAGACCACGTGACCTCCATTGATGGCTATACTCTGTTATAATCTCTTAAGAGATTTTAACAAAAAACCAAACTTTTTAGAAAAAAACCAGGGGCTAACTTTGAATGTAAAAGTGGATTCATTAACCATTGGCAAGTATGGGAAAATTGTTTTTTACTCCAGGAAAATTCATTTTTTGGCCAAAACGAAGAGTTATTATCCCTTTAAGTCGGATTATATGAAAGTAATCTAGTGAGACTCCCCACGGGGATAGATCGATCTAAAATCTATGGGAATAGAGCCTAATATTCAAGTTTGTCGAATAAAAGCATATATGGCATTGATTGTGAGAAAGAGACTTGACACCATATGTGTAAATGAGCATCAAGACATTAGTTGTAAACTTGTGCCTTCAGATGTTTTGATTTCCAAAAAAGTTGTTAAGAGGAAAGTATTTAAAAGTGCATTCTAGAAATATTGCCATCTCATGTACCTGTACTAAGATTTTCTTCACGGAAGTAATGAAATGAATGTGGTGAAATTGTAGTGTACAACTGACAAGCACACTTGGTGTGGGCCATGGCTAGGCAAAGACTGATTCCTGACAAGATACTAGTAAGAATTGGTCTAGGTTTAAAATTGTGCACATTTCTCTAAACTAGACATGCTGCCAGGAATGGGATTTTTCTGACTATCAATTGTTTGCAGACTTTCGGGGAGCCCAAAAAAATTGGCTTAGGCTGCCCCCTGGACCCACGCCAAAATTTTCCAACTTTTTCACTAAATGGCAGTCTCATCCCTGTACTGCTCATTATATATTCCAATGACAATAGTGTAAATTTCCAATCTTAAAACATAAAAACGAGAAAAAAATTTGGTTATTTCAAAGGTTATATTAAGCAAGGTGCTGGATGACCTTCATCTCTGATCATGCAGTCAATAATTAGTCAAATGAAATTATTTTCTTTCAAGTTGTTCTTTTCTCTTCAAAAGGGGTACTTTTTATTATGTATGTGCTTTTGAAATAATGTTTGCTGTATAAGCTGGAAGCTTCTAAATGCTTTAACATTCACACATAGAAAAATGAAGAACATTACTTGGGCTATTCAACATGTAATTTATTTTCTTCCACAATATATATATATACTGTAGCTTAAAGCTGTCCATAAGTCACATTCATTCAGTATGTGAAATATAATATACAACAATAGTTGTGCAGCTGACACAATATGGAATTTTACAACATAATTACACTATGTACAAGACCACATTTTAACTCAATGGACACTGGCTACATTATATTTAAGTGGCTCATTGCAAATAATATCTTTAAAAATTATCAGTATTTGCGGACAGCAACAGAATAATATAAACATGTTATGTCCCCATTAAAATTTCAAATTATACATCTATCTAGGATTTCAAATTAGATCCTAATAACAAATCTTTTCACAAATGCCTAATGTACTTAAAATACCTTATTAAGGCTCAAAGTATACTTTATAAGTCCATTATTTCTTAACATCATACATAAAATGGGAAGGAAAAATGTAAATGTATAAAATTGTACAACATTAAACTGACGTATAAAATGCTTTATGCGCTGTGCATAACATTAAAGGCATACAACTTTGGGAACATCGCAGAGATCTGCTCCTTAAAATGTCTACAATATAAGTAGTCTGGTACAAATGAATATACAAATCAACGCATTAAATCACCCTCAAAGATAACGTGAAAATGATGTAATACACAATAAATGTAATACAGCACCATGTTGCCCTCTATATCAGGGCATTTTCTAGAAAATACTTAAAAGAAATTATATCTATAACTTCATGAGAACCCAATTGCTTTGGCTTAAAACTATCAAGAGTGATTCCTTCTTGAATTCTGTCGTGATCATGCTTCTTAGGTCAAAAGAAATTGGAAAGTTGCAGTTGAACCTGCTTGTCAAAACAGTGGTTCTTTACCACTAAATGCCTCCGTCCACAAGCTCATTTTGTTACACAAAAGTCACAAAAGCAGTCTTTATTCAATTCTGTCTTACTTGAAGAATGTCCTGCATTTTTTATTACATAGCACAGGCAGTAGAAATTCCTACATTTTTTTCTAGATCTATATCTATTGCCATTTGCAACAGAACTTGCAAAAAAAATAAAAGACGCTGAACTGGTCTCCTCTAAGAGGCACATTCTTGGCTGTGCAAAAAAGCCTGAACCAACTTATCAAAAACTTTTAACGTGTATAAATAAACATATCTCTTAGATTTGAATTCCTACAGCTACACATCACTGTCCACAGTCAATTCCCCAATGAGTACCACAATTTCACTAAACGTTGGCCTCTCTTTAGGGCAGTCTGCCCAGCACCTCATCATAAGAGTCTGTAATTCTGCAGGGCACTGCTGAGCTGGCAAAGAGGCTGGCTGGAGGAGATCGCCACTCTTCATTGCCTGCAACAGGTCCTCATTTGACAGGTCCCCGAATGGCATATCCCCCTGTGAGAATACTTCCCACATGAAAATTCCAAAAGCCCAAACGTCACTTTTTGTGGAGAGATCATCATCTAAGACTGCCTCGTGGGGCATCCAACGTATAGGTATTACTGAATCGCGATACCGATAATACTCAGAAGAGTAAAAATCGCGACTTAGTCGAAGGTTTGCAACTTTGACATTCAAATCAGGTGCTAACAGCACATTTCTTGCTGCAACGTCTTTATGTACCAGGCGTCTGGTGAATATATGTTCCATTCCCAATGCAACTTGGTTGCACATTGTTACTTTTTGTGCTATTGTTAATGCTGGGATTTTGAGTCTCTTTCCACTTTCTTTCCTTGATGTGAAAAGGAATTGCTTAAGATCCCCCTGAAAAATTAAGCAATGATATTTCGTAGAATAGCTTATAAACTGACAATTCAGGAAACTCTCTCTCTGACAATCAACTGAAGCACTGTCCTTGGATTTTTAAACCTCCTCCAGTTTTTAAAAGTTACAGACCCCAGATTCAATAATGTTTCTTAGTTTGACTACCAATAATTAACTTTCTCAATCTTTTCCAGATTTTACTCTTTTCTTCTTCTATCATGCCAAACATCCAAGTTTGCAAAACATATAAGTTTGCAAAAACCCCAATATTATCAAAATATCATAACAAGGAATTTTACAAAATCTTACCCATTCAAGGTATTCAGTCATCATAAACTGTGGCTCGCGGTCTCTGCACACACCCATCAGACGGACAACAAACTCGCTGTCCAGTTTACTGAACATGTCTATCTCTTGGCGAAACTCAAACTGATGGTGTTCATCCTTACTGAGTAGAGATTTTACTACAACCAGAGTCTCCGCTTCACCATCCTTGATATTTTTGGCTTTGGCAAGAAAGACATCTCCATATTCACCTCGACCTAGAGGATAAATATTGATGTAAATAAACAATTTTTTTGTCATATTACAGTATGAAAAATGTGTTTGTGGGATAACAAAACACACACAACGTTTGAATGGGTAAAGACATTTTGAAATGTCAAACTGTTTATAAAAACTGCAAATAGATCAACAACTTTACTGTGTGCACCTTTTTTAGCAAGAGATCATTTTGTTGCTTTTAACTAATAACTTTCAACAAAAACACAGTAGACATTGCATTATTCCCAAGTCAAAATGTCTGCCAAATAATATTACCCAGCATTCCAATGGTCTGGAGATCATCCCTGGGGAACTTGAAATTATGTAAGCTGGATCTTTTCTTGGACCTGCTGCTGGAGGAGTGGGAGGGGTGGGAACTGGTCCCAGAAAAGTGGGAGTTGGCCCCTGAGACGTGGGAGTGGACATCATCACTCCTGGTGGTGTGAGAGTGCGAGCTACGGGACTGATTTCCCATCAATGTTTCTTGTTCTGGATTCTTAATTTCACCATTTTCTGTGACTGAAAGGAAGACAATAATTTTTCTACTTTAGTTAGCTGCAACATTCCTGATTTCAAAATATATTATGTCAAATAATTTTCACAAATTATAAATCTTCCTTGACATTTTCCACTCAAGTTATTTAATAGGTATTATTTTCCCATTTATTACTTAAATATACACATTTACAAAAATTTTACACAACCTCATGCATGTAACTATTTGAAACTGTTTCAAGTATATAAAATCAAGGACCTTGCTCTCAGTCAAGATCAATTTACCTGCCACCATGTTATCCACATTTTTCTTCCTCCTCTTCCTCAATAGCCTAATACTACACACCACTACCAGAGTGACCACTAACACCAGGTAGGCCACTGCACTGACCACTGCAATGATGACTGTCTTCATGGCACTGGTGTTGGTCTGTCCACTCTCCCCAGTGACCACCTGACCATGGGTGTCTATGTGAATGATGTCGGAACCTTCGACTGGACCATTAGGATCCATACCTACAAAAAGAACACAAAAATATACTGTACGAAGCTTTAGAAAGTATCACAATATGAAGACTGTCACTGGAAATATTACATTTTATTGTTGTCCCAAAACATTGGCGATAGCTAATTTTGGAACACCTGTAGCAAAATAAATAAATAAATTGCTACTAAAGAGCTGAAATTGTAAGGCTTATTCTGCAAGTTAACAACACACTACTTGTTATGTAGTGACAAGAGATTCATGTAGAGATTTTTGCCTTACTTTTGACCTTGAGATACATCTCCTCTCTGGCAAACCCTCCATTGTTCCCTGCAGTACAGCCAAACCTGGCCTGGTCCTCCACATACACCTCAGTGATGAACAGGGACCCATTAGATTGCACCTGAATTTTCAAATTAATATAATAAAATTTAAGTTGCCAGTTTATGTTCTGCTTTATATTATATAAGTTGCCAAAATTAGGAGTGTATGATTTGTCCACTTCTTTAGGTAATCAATTTGAAAACAATCCATTTCACAGATGATGTGCCTTTGTAGAAACCGCATTTAAAAAAGCAAGAATCATAATATCCCATAAAAATATTTCTATATTCTAAAAGTTAACATAATATCTGACTTGTTTTCAAAGAAATTAAGTAATTGAAAGACATATGGATGTTCTTGTCCAGTGTAAATTAATACATGGTTTTATATCTTTTATTGCTTTTAGGCAATGTATGTAAATAAGCAGGGACTCCTGTAAGTTACCTGAAACCTGTTCTTCTCCCCATCATCAATATTTCTGATGAGTTCTCCATTTTTGTCCCACTGAACAGCAGGTTGTGGGTCCCCTGCTGCCACACAGTTCAACATGACTGAAGACCCCTCTACAGCAGTGTCGTTCTGAGGCTTGACCCGAAACCAGGGCTTGACTGGAAAATGATTAAAAATAAATCAAACCTGATAAAAAATACTGTGAAATCTTTATTATTTCATAATTTTATATAATAGCAATGGGAGATCCATAAACCGTTGCCATTCTGTAAATTTATCAAGAAAAAGAGCTAGACTGATACAAATGTTATACAATGAAAAGTGAAAGATTTGCTGTGTTTCATCTGCTGCCTCAAGATTCAAATAATTAATATGTCAATTAATTGCTCAAGATATTAACTTATAAGAGAATAATTTTTGTACCAGTAAGTAATGTGCAAGATGTGCACATTTATAAGAAAAAGGAAAAATATATCAGCACACCCATAAAAATCCCTCCATAACACAGTCTTCTCACCTACAACATCCACATGTATGGTAGCATTGATGACACCCTGAGTGCTGCTGGTAGCAACACATGTATATGACCCAGCATCAGACTTCTTCACACCAGTGAATACCAGGGTGCCTCCCTCATCAAGGATGTGACTGGGGAAATTCCACATGTCCCCACTCTTCAGCCATTTCACCACCAGCGTTCCTTCTCCCTCGGCTCTGCAGTGGATCTTAGCATTGGAACGGAGCTCTAGTTTGGTATTTATTGGCCTTGGTTTGAACTTTAGTTTTTCTACGAAAAAAAAAAGAAAGGTATTGAAATGTAAAACACAACTGTTATGATAAACATACTGTCCATCAATCTTAGGTGATTCAAAATAAATTGTTTTTAATCATCTGCGTAATTATGCCATTTTCTTCATAAATCATATTCTCACATCAGTTCCACAGCCCATTAAAATCTCATTATTTCTTTATCAAACAGTTACATTCCATTAAATGTTTAAATCTTACATACGTATTTTACAAATGACACTTATCAACATTTAAATCATCAACTAAAATGCTTGAATTCCTATCTCTTATTTGACTTCCATATCAAAAAGACACAGTCACTTACTTCTCACAGTCAGTGGGGCTGGACTAGAGGTCACCACAGGGAAACCAGTGGTGTTAACACTGCAGGCATACTCTCCAGCATCAGAGAGGAACACATCACGCACTCGTAGCACACCAGTGGCCTGGTTCACTGAGAAACGACGATTCTGAAAATATTTTTTCAATGATAATAATTGCAATAATTTTTTTTATTTATTTATTACAACCAAGAGTTAAAATACTGTCACATCATAACACCTTGTTTATGGCCCTACAGTTTGAGAAAGAAAAGCACAACTTTAAGATCCTGGCAGAATTCCTTTAACATGAGGAGAACCTGTCAAATTTAAAGGGAGTTTAAAATAGGACAGTAAAACTTAATGTGCCCCTCAAAATTGTTTCAAAATTAAATTATCCACAAAGCAGCTAATGTGGATTCAGAGGCGGAATTTCACAATTAGTTTCAGATTTTAAAGCAGCTCTCTGTCAATCAAACTGATGATGGCTCCAACTTTAGGGAGAAAAAGCAACTGTGTTTGTATCCACAAATTCAATTGTTTATCCATTATAAAAACAGTGGAATATGCAAATAACTTGTTTACAAGCACAGAAATTTCTATCAGCACAACCTATCAGCATTGCCTGACCACTGGCTATCACCAGTCTGGACCAGGACAGGGTGACTGATAATGTCACAGAGAGTGACCAGAGTAACACCTTAACTTCTAACAACCCATGACATGGCTTGAAACACAATGCTGCATGAGAACCTAAAATTAACTCACATTTGTACATCATCCTTGGCAGTAACGGGCACCCTAATGTAGTCAGTTTCACAAAAGATCTTTAGCCCATAAATTGGTCTGAATTTTAAGACCAAAAACTTAGTCTACTTCAGTTCAAAAGAAATCTAGTCATCTATTTAAAATACAGAAAGCATTGACCTAATACATCAATTAGCAATATTTCATTTAATTGAAGAATTATGATTTATCTCATGTGAAAGTATACTGGATTTTTTGGTCTTAAAGTTTAGAACAACTTTAGGGCTAAAGTTCCTTTGTGAAACAGGCACTAATAAAGGGAAGATGGAATGAGTGATAACCAGTGCCTCAAGGCAAGCATGTTCTATCCACCCTGGAGAGAGTTCTCTCACATGTGAAGCCAAAATTACAGTCCATGTTTTTTCCAATTCACAGTGTCATTGCTGAACTTTCAACACCTGTTCCTTACAAAAAGAAAACACTCCACCCAGTAAAACAACTATGGTCAACAAGCAAATATACCCTAGGGGTATTTAAGTACAACCTCAAATAAAAGACAAACTAAAAGGGACCTTTTTTGATAGGCATCAGCTTCTGTTGCCTAAAGATGTGGTTAACACCTCTTCTTTTGAAACTCTTTAATTTATCTGAAATATTTCTTTGGAACTTTAAACCATTTCCTGACAGGTGAGACTATCTGATCATTTTTCACTCAAAACAACTACCGTTTTATCACAGCATTGTTCATAATATATGGGCTTATAAAGGGCTTTATTTTTTTGAGACAATCTAAAATGATGCTACACATCTGAATTAAAAATAATTAAGATGCCACTTAAAATATGGAAAAAATTTGGAGCAAGGCTGATACAACATCACACAAAAATTACCCTTCTCCTTCACTCTGGTTCTCAAAACACAGAACACAACTCTACAAGAGAGAACTCTACCACCCTAGTTAGACACATCAATTGCTGTCCAGAAAGAAAAATCAGTTGCTGGAATTCAACAGCCATTACAAATCAGTGGTGCTTGCCACTTCACTTCATTTGGCCCTGTCAGTCAGTGAGAGGGCCTCGTTGTTATGCCAGCAGTGACAGGCAGACCAGGTTCTGCATTGCTCAGATGAGTGGAAGGCTAAAGGGCAGTCCCGCCAGAGAAATTTGTTGGTATGCTTTTCAGCTTTGGTTTCTTCTTGGAGGAATCTGTATCTGCTCTCTTTCTAATCTATTTTATTCTTCCTTTTTCTTTCTGTTATCTTATCTGTTAGCATGACCAGAATCTTCTTAAAATATATTTAACAACTAGTTTTTTCTTCTCAATTTATAATTGAAGCAAAGTACTACTAAGACTATTACCCAGCCACATCAGATATCCTTTCATATTTTCTCTTAAAATCAATAAAACTGGTGGTTGGTTTTATGAAACCTGTCAACTTTTTCATTCTGAGTAATAAAACTGACTGGATTTTATCAACATTATTTTTTCACGCAATATTTGCTCAATAGCCTTAAAGATCAGTGACAGAGACAAAGTTAAATTGTTCCAAACTGGTTCTGACAGGCTGACGTGTGACACAGCAAATAACAACATTGTACACATGTTTAAGACAAATGTAATACGGCATGTCCATCATGTAAAAGTCACAGCACAGACCTGAGCTGAAAGCTAAATGGACACTAAAATGGTCTTTAACTTAATTCATGCCTTAAATCTAGTGCCATGTGTTTAAAAAATCCTCTTTCTAGAAGTATTTTACTGCAGCAAATAATTGAATAGAAGAAAAATATGAGACCACAAACAAACGCCTGTTTTTTTTATATCTTCTAGTCAACAACAAGGGGCACTTTCCAAACAAACAAATTTGACAAAAAGAATCGATAAATAACAGAAAAATTTGGAATACATGTTACTAATTTTTTTCTAAAAAATCACTTTTTAATATGTTTTCTTTTTAATATAAAACTAATTCTTATCCCCCTCAGGCTGATAAAATATATCTAAAAAATAAAAAAATTCAAAATGAAGTATGTAGTTTTAACATTTTCTTCACACACACACACACACACACACACACACACACACACACACACACACACACACACAGAACAATATCCTCAAAATGCCAAACAACCAAGTAAAAGAATACATACCTGAGCCAACAATTCATTGTTTTTCATCCACCTGATCTGTGTGACAGGGTAGGGTGTCGCAGTCACACGGCATTCCATCACTGCTTCCTCGTCTTCTTCCACCCAGGTAGGACTTGGGCCTTTGATGATGGTGGGGGCAACTGTAAAAGTGAAGTTTGTGAAAAGTCTAGATTGAACTAATAAGCCTGTTGTAGCTGATTTAATAAGGTCTGTTATAACTGGTGTGATCGGTGATGGTTGGGGATATTGAATAGAGAACTGGGACTGAAGTGCCACTTTGACCAGCAATGATGGTAGTAGAGGCAACTGGAGAGAAGGTAGAAAAAGACTTAGTTAAACAATACAAAATGTTGATTTTGACTCTTGCAAAAAGAAGCACTAAATAAACACAGGATACACCCTCTCCAATCTATCCTGCACTCATCAAAAATCAATAGATTCTCAACTCTTAAACTGAGTAATTTTCAAAATATTTTTGCTTGAATACAAAAAAAATTGTGTTATGTTCGGCATCTATTTATAACCTTGTGATCCAAACTCAAATTAAAGTGAAGATAAGTGTGAACAAACCACAAAAAAAGGAAATGCACAGCATGTTGGGACAAAACTTAATATTTAAGAGAAAACTCATGTCCAAAATAGAGGAGGTAGGGGTAAAATATGTAGTAAAATTTTTCAAACTTGTCTCGGCTTACTAATTGGTGAAAAAGAACATCAGAGTCCAAAGAACCTGAATAACCAACAAGACCAGTCATTACATCCAGGTCATGCAACTTGGAACAGAAGACATTACAGAAAACTATGTGAACAGTCTCATTAGTCCTGGGTCTGAAGTCATTATCATAACTCAACTTACTGAAGCTGCTGACAAGATACATGCACGGGATGTTGTTGACAAAGATAAATATAAGAGGGCAGACAAAAAGAAAGGTGAGGAATTTGCTGTCTTCTTTAACAGAGGGGGGACTTCTGAAATGTTTTTCTCATTAATTCTTTTTCTTTTTTTAGGTAACATGCGGTAACAAAGTGTCAACCAGTTGAATTTATATGTCATATCCTTATCTTCTCCCAGCATCTCAGAAAAATTTGCTTCACAAATCCTAGGCTGTCTTCACATGGTTAGAACATGATTTATCACCATGGGTTTACCTCTGATAATGCCTCTGTACAACTACATTCTGCATGATATGTGATTTATCATAGAAAATTACTGCACATCTGCAAAGGTGATACAAAAGTTGAGAGTTCATGCAAAAAGACCAAAGGTGTTTCTCAGCATGACCTCATTCTGACAAGGTCTATCCTCGGGATTTTTTGATGTTGCATTTTTTTCTAGGCGAGGCTGAAGGTTCATCATTAGTTACGGACGATTACTGAAAGGAATCTATTAATTCAATTAAAATTTTTAGTTTTGATGGCAGACTTGAAAAACTAAGTCAAAATGCATAAAATAATGTTCGATGTATCTCCAAATATAGGCCATATGTATCTACAACTGACTTGTATGAAAAACATTTACTCCGAGCTATTTTTTCTTTGAGAATCTGCACAAGTCCAACAGCCATGATCCAATGCTTTTCTATGGCATATGGTAAATTTGTAAGTTTTATGACTTGCCTAGAAAATTTATATACTAAACAGTGAGAATTTAAGACAATTTAAGCCAGTTAAAGATTTCAGAACTGTTGAGTGAAGAAAATAAACATTTCTCTCCCTGTGAATAAGTGAAGATTTATAAACTTACCAGAAACTACAATCTGGACCTTCCTGGTCCTGTTGCCCGCCATATTACTAGCCACACAGGTGTAGTTGCCAGTGTCTTCTTTCTCTGTGTACGTAATGACCAGAGAAGTGTCTTCAATACGAACACGGCCACTGTTAGTTATGTATGTGTTGCTTGGATTCAGCCATCTATAAGATTAGTTACATTGTAAGTTTTAATTCCATAGGCATTTAACAGTCATCCTGTTCATCTTACAGCATCTTATTAATATTCTATGATCTCCAGGCAAAATATGAAAAAAATCATACTGGTAAATTTTGAGATTCAAAGACTATTCAAAACTTGAAAATACATGTGTTTTATTTAAAAAAAACATACTGGTGAATGTGTAGTACCTTAAATGTCAAAATTTTAAACCCAAATAACTTAACCTCTTTACTCAAATTCATGTTATAAACAAAAGCTTCAGTTTAAGTATACTGCAATTAAAATTTGGGCTTTCTGAAGAAGTTTAGATGCCCAATCTAGAAAGCTAAATCAAGAAGAAAAATTCAATTTAAACAAACTGAGCCCATTAAAATAAACAGTGCAATTACTAACAGTAACTTGTCTCCCAATCCCTTTTTCTAACCAAAATACATTTACCAACACGTATTTGCACACAAAGTACAAAAAAAAAGAAATATCTAGATAAAATCCATATCCAAGCACATTTTATATAAACATTAACATAGAAAAGATGTAAGGTTGTGAAGAATGGGGGAAAATAAGCCATAAATATTGCCTGGTGTCTTCAAGTAATTCTTCTATTTTACAAGACATCTGTTGGTAAACATATCCCAGTAATGAAGATAAAGTGTGGCAGTTGTTGTTCCTAGTCATGTCATGTTACAAGTGGTATACATTATGTTACAATGACAAATGTCTCCTTCCGTCTGACAGGTGTACAGTATAAATCTAAACAGAGCAGTAGCAGAATGAAAACACTGTTCTCCAAGTCATCATTCAAAACAGGCATTTTGTGTACAATTTTTTATTTTTCAATAAAACTGTTAGCTCACTTTCAAATATCATTTATATCACTTGTCAAAACAATTGACTTATACTAGATAAGCTGTTTTATTATGAAAGGTAGCCATTAAAACATTTTCAATTGCATAGTTGGGATAAACAGGTCCCAAATACTGCAATCTGTTTTCAATATTTACAATATGTGAAAAATGAAAAACAAAACTGTGCATTTCTGGGTGTTCTTACAGAATGGAGCAAAGACATGAGAGCCTGTCAAATCAACTTTCACAAAAATCCATTCTTCGTTTTGCGGGATTGCTGCAATTCAACTAAACACCTCCACTGACTACCTCATACACCGAAAAGGTCAGTTTTTATCTGCAGAGCCATAGAAAAGGTTCCCCTCTGACAGTGACAAACTATACCACCCCAAGCAGCAATAAAATAAGGAAAGTTTCCAGCAACTTTTTGTTTTGCATTCCAGTCAGGGAAAAATACAGAGAAATAAAAGATCGGACACTGGTACAAAAATTATTACAAAAAAGTACCTTAACTGAATAGTCATTACAAATATGATGGTTGCAGAGTCATTATAACTCCTTTTAAAGGTACATACAAACCGAGCATCAGTGGAGTGTGGATTCCCATTAACACATGTAAACCACTTCTACTAGTTTCTTATATGACTCAAATAAATTCGACATGCCAAGGGATAAACTGAATAGATCACTCGATCAGCCAAAGAGCTTTAGTCTGCTCCTTTCTTTAAATTTTTGGTCGGAAATTTAACCTACTTTCATGACCTACTTTTCTGCCCCATTGACATCCAGCATAGAATGCTAGCAGAAAAATCCGTTCAAACATCATTTTTGGGTAAAATTAAACAATGCCTTTTGGTAATTCTCTTAGTTATACTACTTGAAACTATATGCTGGCATTTGGTCGGTTTTTGTGGCAAAAAATTGGCTTTGTATGTATCTTAAAGTTTAGCGGAAGTTTCAACTGCGCAGCTTGCATATGCATATACATACACAGACACAGGACCTCCTCCAACAATACAAATACCTATCAATGGAATGGACATGGCTCTTTAGACATACACTTTCAATAACAGATTTTTTTAGAGAGAGGAGATTGGGTAAATGCTTTAATTTTTGAAAAGGTATCAATAAGAGAGGTGTATTTCCAAACATATCAACTTCCATCTCACCTCACTGTTGGAGCTGGGAACCCATTTGGGGGTAGACACAGTAACTCAAAACGTTCTCCTACAGGAACAACAGTGGCTCTATGGGCTGGAATACGGGGCTCAAATGACTTGGCAGTTAAGTCCTCCAGTGCTGAAAAGGAAAAACAAATTATCAATTAGTTTTGCCAAAAAATAAATACTGTTAGCATATCTGTCACCAGCTTCTTTGGTGTCAAACTTTGTTGGTTCTGTTGATGAAAAAAACAGTTTTTGGGGAGCTAGAAATGAAAATGATATGCAATTCCTGGGCTTTGAAGTGCTTTATGTGCATTCATGAGGGTGAAACAGAAGCTGAAAATCCTTTTATTAGCCTGTCTACACTGGATAGAAGCCATGAGGTGAAGCAACAGTGTAAAACAAGTGAAAGCAAAAAACAAATATGAATGCCTTTCATCGGCCTGTTCAATACCCCACATTATCATACATGTTTTTAGCCTTAAAACAGGACTTATTCATGATTAGGTCATTATTCCCATTCACTTGTTTACTGATCTGAACCAGCTGGCCCTTAAACAGACATAACATCACTTCAGGTGTTACTTTTGAACATGGGTACTCTTTAAACAAGCCAGAGCAGTAAAGGCTTCCCAAATGTTCACATCTAAACAGTGCAGCATTAAGTAGTAGTAAACCATTTATACAACAACTCCTGGGATTTTTTTTGCCTGCCTTTGATTTCATGCAGACATGTTCTTCATGTGTAACACTAAAAGCATGCATGATGCTGATGTAGGCTTTGCGTGAAATTTTAAAAGCAAAGTTGAAGTCTTTGCTCAGGAACCTGAAATTTTCATCTATAATGCAATTTTTTTTCAACAAAATGTGCACCTTAAAAAAATGACAAAAATTTTAGGGCATAAGAAATAAATCCTGGACAAATTGCTGTTGGCTGAATGCATCTGTCACCCAACTTAACCTTTTTCTGAAACTTATGTGTATATCAGCTTATTCTGCTAAACTTTTAGACATGGAAACGTGTTCTCATGAGAAACGGCAAAAACACTCAAGAACTTCCTGTTATGTTGGATCCTGGGGGAGATCAAAGAATTTGAGCAACACCATGATAAAACAGTGTTCTTGTATGTAAACCTTCCAACACAAATAAGCATTCACCACCCAATTAAATGTGCTTCATATGTAAACCACACATAACCAATAAATTTAAGTCATCAGTCAATACAGTAGCAAATCAGTAAATTTATTTCAAAATTTGAATAATCCAATGTTCTTGATGACCCATATATTAATGTCGCCTCTATCTTAATTATCTAATTTCAAACATTTTCTTTTCATGTTTTTCTTGTAAATGAATTTGCACTAATTATCTAGAATCATGTGGTGATTTCTAGCCCTGGGTGAGGCTGGCTTCAGACCTGGCACTGTGAAGATGCTTATGTGTTATAACAAGCTGCTCCTGGCAAGGGTCCATAACTCCCACCAACATGAAACTAAATGAAAGCAAAAAAGATCCACTTAATTCTGCTTACTTCAAAGGCACCTTCTCCTAGTACTATCATCCTTGCAGGAAAAACATGAAAATTGCTGGCTGTCATGTTTATTTTGGTGTTTTTAGCTATGACACACTGCTTCGAGATCTAAATAAACTCACTAACTGCGTTTCTGCTTTCTATCTCAGATGCCTACATTTGTCTGCTTCCCTGTGATTCTTATCATATCACCCTCAGTCTACAAAAACTATTTTGTTCTGCCCAGTATTATTTTTTGTTCATACTTTCACAGATTAAAAAAAGAAACCTTTAAAGTGAAAAGTGGCTTTTGCAGATGCATCATGCAAGTCTAGGTACTTCCAATCTACAGGATGTCTGAATATGTCTGTTCCTTAATGCCAAAGAAAGTGAGATTTCTTACAGCCCCCATATTGAACAAAGCTGAATAAACTAAATTTACAATGCTCAGTGAAATTTATCTCAAACCCAGTGAGGGAGATTAGACCAGACTTTACGTTCCAATTTCCTCCCATTTCTTTTGTTTTATATCTGTTCAACAAATCTGCATGTGCGCAGGTGCATATGTATGTGTGTGATAGAGAGAGAGAGTACACGTGTGTGTGTGTGTGTGTGTGTGTGTGTGTGTGTGTGTGTGTGTGTGTGTAGACAAGCTGCATCTGTGGGATACATTCATATCTGCCTGAAGTTGAGGTCTCACTTAAAACCACCTCCGATGAAAAAATAAGACATATTTAACCAATAATCTTACATTATGTTTGTGTATGTTCTTCAGATAACAATGAAAATATACCCAAAGGGTATGTGAATGCCCAAAGAATTTAAAAAATAACTATTCTAACATGATTTGTTAGACAAGCAGATGCAGTATATCATAATCACTGCTCTGGTATGTTTCCCTGAGGTTTGTCACAGGAAACATAATGACGTCCTGTCATTTCATGTTGACATTCAAATCAATGCTGAATGTATTAAGATAGCCTGCTTATCAGAAATTTTCTGTTAATAATTGTGTGACACTGACTAAAAGTAGATATGAAGTTTAATGAGTACTTTATCCTTCATGTTTGAAAAGGATGACTATTTAAAATGTGGTTTTCTATTTTTCATCCTTAAGTTATAATTTTTTATATCTTGCTTCATCAATTGACACCAAATCTAGCAATGGTAATGCACTTATTCATAAGTTTCATAATTAAAGCACCCATAATTAAAAGTTTAACAACATCAGAACATGTGGCAAAAACCTCCACCAAATCACATTAAAAATCCACATCAAATATCCCTTTGGCCATTAATGTGTGCTTTTTCAACAATAAACAACTTATCTAAAAGACAGCAATCTCCGGGGAAATATCCTGTAAATGAAGTTGGGCATATGGACTGTTTAGTCAATTACTCCAATTTGATTTTCATACTGAATAATTGCTTTATCTTCTTGTTTTCTGGGATAATTAGACAATGCAATTCCTTGTAAATGCGAGTCAGGCCAGCCATGAGAGCTGGATCAGTACTTGAGAAATTGGATTAAGTTGAGCGATACCTTTCCACGCCAGCTGTTGATCTATTATTATTATTATTATTAAAATTATTATTGTTACTTTCTTCATACATATAGGAATATACCTAATGTTCTATTCTTACATTTTAATTATGTTGCTGGTGTCTTAATGTCACATACATCTGACATTTAGAAAATTAACTCAATAAACAGATTCTTCCAAAAATAATAAAGGAAAAGAAACAATTTAATTATGGTTTGGCTACACGACCATTGTTTAAGTTCATAACTGCCCACACATAATGAGAAATTCTTCACAGAGCTGAATAAAATATCTCAATTACAGCTGATAAGATTTCAATTTCAATCCTCTCTCTGTCATCCGTATGTCTCCCATAGTTCTCAATTAAAACTTCCCATTTATCAGCTCCCTCTTGTCAAACCAAAGCTTATTCAGCAATGGAACAATATTATGGCTGTGAAGTGAAGATACATTTAATTCACATTTCACCAACTCCCATTATACAATTCTTTGTCGTGGCTGCACAATGACTGCCTGTGACATTTGATAGTGACACTAATATACTTTCATATTTCACTAATTCTTCTTACATAATCCTCCATTCTTGTTCTCTTTCAGCCAAAAGTTACAGCCTTCAAACTATACAGGACTAATGCAATGATTATATACCACCAGCAAAGGTTTAATGATCAAATGATACAAGCCATTTGTAAAACTTATTCCACATTTTGGACTTCACAATCTTCTCCAGTATGAGAGTGCCCAGTTATCCAGGTAGAACATAAGCCTACTTCCACCTAAATTAGGCATCTTATTAGTTAACTATTACCTAACTGCAGCAGATACCATTAGATCACTCTATTTAGTGCCTGCTGGGATAGCCCAAAGCCTTTAGATCAAGTTACAATTTTTACAGAGAGGGCCTTATGGTAAATGAAAATTGGAAAAACTTTTCAAAGGAGGAAGATATGTTAAATCTGTGCCCACGATCAGCCAAATTTATTTCCCAGCTATTCTAGAAACACTCCAAAGCCATGATCCATGAAACATATTTATTTTGTGATTTTGCTGGAAAATCCATTTATTTTCCTTGATCTGTGATCTTTGGTTTTATTTTCCAGTATTCTGTGGCTGGTGCTTCCCCTCCCCTCCCACCCACCCCATCTTTAACAAGATAATTAATCTGGTGCCCTGGAGTTTTACACCTCTTGCCTGGTTTTGAGTAATGTTATATTTACTGAGTCACACCATGCTGTCTCACTCTTTTTGTTGTGAACAGTATAACTGAACTTATACAGGGTGGCCCAGTATACACATTCATGCACACTCAACTTAATTTTTGATGATCAATTTGTGTTGTTCTCAGTTCTTCCCCTGTTGACAGTATGATCTGTATGACATAATTTTAGCATCCCTGTAGTCACTATTCAATAGGTAAAAAGTTGATTGCATAACCTCACACAGAAACCTGTCATGGTTCCAGCAAAAGCTAACACAATCAACTGTCCCTTTGCCATATAGCAATACATATATTCAATACTGTATTCTGAATGAGCCATAATACTTTTTCATCAAAGCTAGAAATTCTACCAACTTTGAAATAAAAGTTTCTCTGAAGTCAAGATAGATCCTTGATCTTCTCTGTCTAAATAAAGCCATGTGTGCATCATATTAGAAATTATACTGTAACACCTTACTGGAAATAATTTACAGGGCAGTTGATCCTTCCATCTCAATTTAGCTCCTTACCTGCCACTTTTAATTCTGAGGTAAATCTTTGGACTTTTCCTTGCTGGCTAATTCCCACACACTTGTATGTGCCTGCATCACGGCCCCGTACCATGTTGAAATATAGAGTGCCATTGCTGAATACTGTGATACTGGAAAAACAAGCAGTTGATGTTTTTGTTAGTAACCTAAAAGAACGTGCATTTGAAATCTTTAAAAACATTTGTCTTTACATCTCTCCAGGTATCCCAGGAGGAATAAAATATTTATTTTACTGAATTTTCAATATATCAGAAAAAAACAATTCAAACCCTAGCTGCTATATTAAATTTTCTAGACAGGCAATCTCTACATGATTTAAAACACATACAAGCTGTAAAATAAAAGGGTTTTTAAAAGATATCGCCACCTCAGGCACAGAGACTCTTTTCTCCCTCCCCCTTCCTAACCAGTCATATATCACTGCGCTCAAGTAGAGGTTGGCTAATAATCTGACAAGAGTTAAATGCACTATTAGGTCCCATTAAAACAGCACTTACTTATGTCCGCCCCTCCTAGATGTATTGGTAAGAATATTGCCCTCGTGATACCAGTCGGAGTTGACGGCAGAGTTGTCAAATCTACAGTGAAGGGTTGCAGGTTCGGTGGCTTTGACAATCACTTCTCTGGTAAAGGTGCTCACATCCAGGATAGGGATATCTGAGCCTGATAATATATCATATAACTTTATAATATCAGTGAATTCTGTAGATATAGAATGTGGCCAAGGACTGACACCAGAGAATCATTCTACAGACCTCCTATAAATGGTGATTTGCAGATGAAAAAATTGACATATCATAAAACTACTAATACTTCCACAAGATCACATTTTACTGAAAAAAAAAAGCAAAAAGCATGAAAAATAATACCATAACACTGCTTTCATAAAGAGATACTAATAAACTTAGATAGAAAAGGTGGTAATATATAACAGTGAGGTTTTAGTCCAAAAATATGTTGAGTACTTATTCTAATAAATTGCATTCTGTACTCCAAAATTTGTAAAGTGAGCCAAAACAATGTTAAGTGCTTAGTCTCTTACTGTTTTTATAGATAAACCACAGTCTTTATTGCAATGGAACCACAATCACCACTTCCCGTCTATTGCTTTGTACACACACTCACAGGGAGGAATTATATTCAAGCAGAAAGAACTACATCAAAGAAATATTATCTGCCTACTTGAAATTTTCCCTGTCAGATAAGACATGATATGCAGCTGTTCGCAGCCAGTGAGCAACAAAGTACTTTTTGAAAAACCAACATCAAATTATTTCTAATGATGTCGCTAACCTATATCAAACTTTTCACTCAAGTTTAACAGTCTGTTGAGGACACACCGTATCAAACCTTACCCATCAATCACCCATCAAACTTTCAAAATAAAGTCACGGTGCTGCAAAAATGAACAACTACTGTCCTCACTTGAGACATTGGCAATGAAATATCTGTCTCAGAGTTGTAGGAAGGCCATACATCATTTATCCCCTACTGCCCTCCCAAAAGAAATTTGTAAAGACATTTAGTGTAGTGTATATAGGGAGTTATCAAGACAAACTTTATTTGAAGTGAATGATTTTTAGAACTTGTTTTGAACAACATTAAGTTAATTGTACAAAAAAAATATAACAGGCATCCTTCTGTTGATTCACAAACTCCCATTTCTCCAATTGTCTGTGAACCGGTTGGATGACATTCTTAAGTTCAGTTAGAAAAATGTGGTAACTTTCATTAGGATTTAGACTTCATATTGATCTAAGAGGCGATGAGTGGAAATGAAGATAGAGGAGTGATAAGATCTGATGCAAAGGATTATCAAGTGAATCATCAGTCCCAATGCAGATTTTCCTTTTTAATTCCAAGAAGACTAAGCTGATTTATCTAGATGTATTGGAAAAATCACTCAGCTTGAGTCTAGCTTTCAATGAACATGTGGTTAATGCCGATGGCAACATCAAACAGATAATAAAATTGCTAGATATTGACCATTTTACAATTCAGAATCAAATTATGAATATTGGTATTGATGCAAAATATGAAAAAAAAGGTAAGACATGTAGATAAATCACCACATAGTATGCCATTTTCAAATCCTATTGATCCAAAATATTTCATTGCAATGGAAATCATATCGCTAAATACTAAGAGTAAGTACTATTCACTCCTATCAGACCTTAATTCTTAAAACAAGTTCATTTCACTCCTATTAGACTAAAGCTTTTCTGGTCACCAAGATTAGGTCTTCAAAAAAAAAAACAATGTTTAAATCATATCCTTTTAAGTCACAAAATTGTAATTCCCTTTTTAAAAAGGTTATAGCAATATCTGACGAAGACTTTTCAGGATACACTGTTGTCCATACATAGACTATTAAAGTGCCAATCCAAGCAATAAATTGTGACAGATAATCTGTAGATGGAAAAATAAATCCTTCTAAGTGATTATTATTTCCATAGCCAGTCCACTAATCTCCTGGCTTTCCATGCATTCTGTGTTGTCAAGGTTCTGAATATTAAATTTTGTTTAGCCATCTAGTCAATCCATATCCCATTACTGACACTATCAGTTTAACATGCCAAATGCTACAAATTTCGGTCTTTCATCAGGAACATTTCTCATCTTCTTCTATCCGTTTTGTTATTATCTATATCTCATTTCATATCTCTTTCTTATCAAACACAGATGCAGTTTGCAATTTATCTTAAAAACTCCCAATTTGTTACAAAAATCTCAGCCAAAAAAGAAAATTTGTATCTTTACAATCAAAAGAGCCAAAATTTTTGGATTTTTTTCTTTAACATTTGAAAGTAAGATCTAGAAAAATCATAAAGATAAAGATTTTCATAAGTAAAGTCAGTATGACTTAAGCATTGGGCCCTAAGCACCCTTCTCACCTTGCACATTGATCATAAAACTATCCGAGCTATCGAGGTGGCCTGCAGCATTTTTGGCCCTGCATGAATACATCCCATTATCATCAGAAGTCACAGCCATCAGAATCACTTTACGAGCACCGTCCCTAAACCGCACACGGTCTTCACTTGAAAATAACCTACAAATAGATAAGGAATTAAGATAAAGTTATGATAAGATCTGTCATAACTATAGATCATATGCTATCTGTAACTTTGTAAAACAGTTCATGTCATTGGATTTTTATTACTCTTCAATGGCGAATAAGACATAATACCTTACTTATTTTAGAATCTTATTTATTCATGATTTGTCATCGTTAGTTACTTATAAAATTTATATGCACCTTCCAGAACAAATGCAATTAAGTACCCAAAATTTTGGAATCAACATTTTTGACTGTTACCATTACTAAGTTTTGGAAAAAAATTTCAAAATTCATTTTATTTGAAACTGATGAGCAATAACCATAAATTATTAAAAACTATAATCTAGCTTCAAGGTATACAAGTGTCATATTCTATTTACTAAGTCAAACCAACAACAGTGATATTGTACCCCAATTGCAAAGTCATTTTCACATAGTTTTCCTCCATATTTTGTCAGATTGACTGATAAAAAACAGCTATTAACAAACCATTAAGGAAATGAAACCCATTTTCAGTTCCCATTTAGGGAATGGAGGGATAATTGGATGCCACACACCGAAGTGAAGTGGCATCAACTTTCAGAGAAAAAATGAAGCAAATGCTTTACACACTGAAACTGAACCACCTACAACTCTATCATATGTGCAGTGACATTATCAGAATGTCCATAGAATGTCCAAGAAGCTGACACAGACATCCTTTCCAAGGCTTGACCTATTCATCTTATTCATAAAAAATGGAAGGAAAGATTGTATCAAAGCTTAGCACACACAAGTGCCTGGGAAGGCCCTAAACTTTTGTGCCTTGGGCTGTAATTATTTAAAAAAAAATAAATAGAAAGTAATTTCAAATACCAGGCTTCGAATGCGGAGTAATAATCATTTTTTATGAGATCTGTAGATCAATCCTTTTTTATCAGATTGTAAGATGTAAGACATATATATGATAATGAGGGTGCGTTTTCAAAAACACAAATAAAGGGTGTATAATATAGTATCAGAAAAGAAAACCTTTTGGTAAATATTTTTTTTTACTGAGAGATAAAATTCAAGTATTTTGTCAACATGGTGCCATTTGGTGACAGTGCTTGTTACATCAGTTTATAACTTCAAGTGCCTGATTACTGTTGGCAATTTCAATTTCAATTTGCTACTGATGAGACTTATTTTTGTGATGCCATCATTACTAGGACTACAGGATAGAATCAAATTAACACTAAGCTGATTAACATCTCTTCCTATCATAAGAAGGAAACTTCCATTAAATCCTTTCATTATTAAATTTTTTTACATACTCTTGCCAAGTTTTACAAAACAACACTGCATACAACCCATACCTTAAATACGCTTCTTAATAAAATTATTTACTTTCATACAAGACTACTCACTTCATCTGGAGGCAACAAACTGCCTCTGATTGGTCAACATTTGAGAAACAATGTGATTTCCATTACAAACGTTTCAAAAATGAAGGATTATGTAAAATTACAAAGGGCAGACCTGTAGGACCCTAGATTCTTTTTGAGACAGACTCAGCTGGCAAAGATAACAAGTCATTTTTCATTTAGAAAATCCATGTAGAATGTTCTTTCTGGTAAAGTCTTACCTTATTTTATTCTTATACCACTCAAACTGTGGCTCTGGGTTGCCCTGGATAAGGCACTTTAAACTGACTGTGGCGCCAGGAACAATGGCAGATTCATCACTAGGTTGTTTTAACTGAAGGCCACCTTGGTCAATCCCTAAAAGATAAAAAAATCAACATTTTTTTAAGTACTACATTTATTTTCCATTTATGTTCTGTTTTCAATCAGTCCATTTATTACAGTAATGGCTCTTTCTTTTCGATGGCAAAGAAATTAATTTTACATATAAAATAAGTCATAAATTATCAGAATTAGAACATTACTATTGAGTTGTAGCAAAAAAAAAAAACTGTATCCCAGTTCTATTCTATACAAAAAGCACCACAAATGCTACAAAGATATTCATTTTAATGATTTTAAATTTATATATCTGAAAAATTATTTTTCCCATTGAAAAGGTCAAGTCATTACCATAATTTTAGAATGTTAACAGGTCTAACTATTTCAATGCCAAGTACCATCCTACATCACACAATTCTTTGGAAAGTTATATCACATGTCAAATGGTCTTAATTGTAAGTTACAAAAACTTTCTGGTTGTGAAGATTTTGATAGACAATTTTAATCCATGTATCCCAGAAGTCTGGCTTTCCATTCATAAACTGTCTCAGTTTCATAACTTCAGTAAGTCACAGGTGAATATGACGCAACTTCCTCAATACTCCTCTTACCATTCCTTTTAGACAGGTTAATTTAACTGAACATTATTAAGTTTTCCTGTTGTATAAAAGGAGTGGTAATTGGATTCTACCTGTTGACGGAATCAAAGGCAGACAGGTAGGTTATTTACATGATTACATCACAGACTGGCATGAGAAGAGAGGTGAAGAATGTCAACACATAATAAGGACATTCTCTTAAATTCTCCACTGTGAAAAGACAATCAAAAATACTGCAAAGCATGACAAGGACAGTTACGGTTACATCCATGATGGTTTTTTCTGTGGCATTCTAAAGAGACCCATAGCTAAGACATGTATGTCTTTTTCTGTTCATTTTTTTTTTTTTTTTTTTTTTTTTGGGGGGGGGGGCACTACCCCCTTTATCTTTATAGGCCATGGTACAACTAAAGGAAATCGGTCAATATTTCTTCTCTGTACCAGCTCCACAGAGCAGTGAATCAGGCATGCTATATAACCAGCCTACCACAGTCGATCAGAAACCCATTAATCAGGTGTTATTTACATAAAATTATCCTTACTGAAACAGAAGTACATTTGACGTATATCAGGATTATGAAATATGGTGATTGTCTATTATCATTACTTGGATAGGCATGGAAATTACTTCCAAATGGTATTAACATGCCAGAGCTTTCCAAAAGGAGGTTTTTCATAAAATGTTTTATTGCCCAATTTCTGAAGTATCTCACTAGGGCAATCTGGCCTCACTCAATACAAAACATTTTGTCATCAACATTTTTCATCATTTTCTAACAAATTTCAATAAAACCCTTCTCATACAATATATCTGCAATCTTATGTCTAGCTACACAAAAGCTCCCTCAAAAGTATGAACATTTTTTATTCAAACCCTCATCAAATTTATCAATCAAAAACCAAGTTCACCATTTCATTTCTATTCAACTTTGCATTGGGAATACAACAAGCCATATCTGGCGCAGTATCTGAGGTAAATGGATTGTGGGGCAGGAGGGTTATCTCGGTCTTCATCTCAGGCACACTTCAACACCATTTTCCACATTACTGCCACTTACCCCGCACCAGATAAACCACTGTCATAGATGGTTGCAGCTGACTACAAACAAGAGTCCCAGTATCAAATGATGGATGACTGGTGTCAGGAAACGTTACAGAGAGGTCTGGCCAGGTGTGAAGTGAGCCAACCTGGATCTGGTAGTATACAATATCTACATACTACTTTATACTAACCTATGCTGAGATGTACACTACCTACTAATGATGCCTTAACTAAGTTCCGATAATGTTTTCTCTTTTTTTTTTTTTTTTAATTCGTAACTTATTGTTGGAACTTGGAGTGCATAACATGACTGTTGGCCAAAGAATTCAAATATATCTTTGTTGTGATGAGATTTAAATTTTCTATCCAAAGATATGATCTGCTTATTTAAATATATAATGATGTTACTGTGCAATGGACTCAAAGTCATTATAATTGCATCTAACCATTTTCATTTATTTTAAGAACGCCAAAGGTAAGTTCTGGGAGCTCATTTGTAATTTGAATGTGCAGAGGGCCCATCTACTTCTTTCTTCAAGCTTTGAGTGGGGTACAAAAAATGTGCTTCAGTTATAGGGAATTTTTCAGTGCCTTCACACTTGATTTTCAACAAATATTATCCACAAATTGAAGTTGATGTGGATTTTCTGGTTCCAATCCAAGCCTATCACATCCTATCACTCTAATCAACTGCAGCTGCTGAGGCTTCTCTCAGGTATCGAAATTACCCTTCACCAGTTTATCAAGTAGTCGATTAAATAATAATTGAAGCTAATTCAAGTTTCTTTGCTTTGATTAACCTTTGGTTTGGGTCCTACCCCATCTATTCCCTCTTTATTTCTAAGTTTATTTAACTGGGTACTTAGAAAGAGTTGCCAAAATGCCAGATCTTCTGATCAGTTGTGTGCCTAATCTCTGGCAAGCACTATCCATTCCCCGGTTGTTAAAAACACAATCCTGATCCAGATACTGAGCGGGTAGGCAGCAGATTTACTTTGGGCTTAGACATTCACAATGTGGTTGAAAATTTGGAAGTCTCCATGCTCAAAAAGTGATTTAAAGATGCTGCTTACTTATTCATCATTTTGTAAATGATCAGATGCACTTTTAACCTAATCATTTTTGCATGAAAGAGCCAAAATAGGTTAATAACTGGTTTCTGCTCCAAATGCCACTCCTTGTGTTGTGCCAATGCCACTTAAAGTTAAACTGTGTGTGTGTGTGTATGTGCGCGCGCACGCATGTTTGCACATGCAATGGTTTTTACAATTTTTCTTTAAAAAGACCTAATGAAACAGCTCTCAAAACTGAAAACACAAACCATGCCATGCCAATGCCAGTAAAACTCTTCCAACTTTATCTGTAAAAACCAGGATCCAAGATACAATTTATCTCCTATCTTAGGTAACAATCAATCCCAATCCCAATTCTTGCACAATACCAATTTCATTATCAAGAAAGCAAAAACCAAAAACATGCAAATTTCTCATACATCAGTGACACCAACCCCAGGATCAGATCAATTTTCCTAGAAACAATGGATAAAGATTAAGCTGACGGGATTTAACACGCGCGGGTCAGTGAGGGCACTTAGTAATTAGCAGCAAAAGGCAATCAAGCTGTGTCAAATTGAATAGTTACTGATAAATCTAGGAGCGGGGTTTTCACACTAAAACTTGATCTAAGCCACCTGGATGTTTTCTCAATCTATTACATTTGTCCCAATCAACACCTTTGTTCATACAACCATCTTTATGACACTTGTAAATCACTAAAGAGTGACATGGTCAATATTGAACAAGATAATATTTCCTGAAATCTTTTTTTCATTATGGGTGAAAACTGATGATCTGCTTATTGTTGCACTGTGGCAATGTAAAGCAATCAACATCATATCAGTGTGAAATTTTTTAATCTGCATTGAAATGAAGGTAATATTGATGATGCATTATTTTACACCAGCAGATGTAGACTAGAAAGCATGTAATGCAAAATTACAGGTAAAAGCTGATGATACTTTTACTGGCAGTCTTACTCTGGCAATATAAAGCAAACTACATCATATCTGTGTCATTTTTTTCCAACCCACATCAAACTGAAAGTAATATCCATGATGTATTTTATTACACTAGGTAGACTAAAAGGCATCTTGACCCTGGAATTCATAGATCAAATAAAATCAGTCAGGTTTTAAAAATCTAAATAGCTTTCTTCTCAGTAAAAAAACTGAAATGGCATAATATTATGTACAAAAACACTACGTTGCTAGCAGCTGCACCACTTCTGTCTCTCAGATCTTTTCAACTATGCTTCACTCTAATCAGTCTGGTCATGTTCTCAACCAGACTCATTTATGCTGTAAATTGCCCACATGACATCACCAGTTGAACAGTTTGCAAAGGAATCCCCATTGCACCTTATATAAAAAGAAAGCCATAAAAATCAAGTAAGCCAATGAAACCAATAATATCATTTCTTGTCTAAGTAAAATCTGATGTGAATGCAGCCTAAATATCTGCCATCCTCAGTCCACAAAAGGATCAAAAAACTTTGGTCATATTCTATTGATCCTCAAATGATTCATCATCCCCAACATGAGTTCCTGTGCACATTTGGTATTAGACAACTACAAGTCTGAACATGGTGACTAACTCTGACATCATTTGCACATAATCAATACAGTACCATTCATTTCAATTTTTTATTACTAATGCTTTAAACTAAAGCATCTTATCTATTTGTTACAGAGCAGACATACATGTTTTATAATATCAGAAACCATACATGTCTCATACTGCAATACACATAGATGCATAGTTGGTAACATAGCCTACTAAGAAAAAAATAGATTTACTTGCTCTTGTATTAAAAAAGAAATTTAATTCCAATTAGCAGCTCTCTCTAAGGGGTGTCACACAATACCTCAAAGATGCTTATCTCCCTCCCTTTCCCTCAACCCATTCTATATGATTTATTGGGAAGTTCAATATTGACTCTTGAGCTTTACATTATCCAAATTTAATTTACAACAAATTTGGATCAATGCTAACATCCTCCTAATAAAATTCCAAACTCTCCCATCACTGAATTAAATACGACACCAGGAGTCTGCTGAAATAATTCCCCAAGAAGTCAAAGAGTCTAGATCTTTTGTAATCAAATTGTTACACACAATACAAAAATACCAGCTGTGTCGGAAAAAAACATGTTTCAAGAGCTCGACAAGTTCTGTTAAAACCCCAGAAGAATTTTTTTGACGTCCAACAAAGCACGTGGGTTTGCTGGGAATCGATGGTCGAAAGATCAAGGAAGTAGAAATTGTTCTTTTAGAAAAAAGACAATTGTCATAAGGTCCCTTCACACTGGTTCATTATAGACCAACAGACAATATAAAA